GGATCTATACAAACAATAATCCAATTATTCAAATTCCATCTTCATATTAATTCATTCTTTTTTTATCTTGTGTGGCAGATTGGGGATATTCCTGAGGCTGAGACGAAGCCTCCTGATAATGTCCTATTTGTTTGTAAACTAAATCCAGTTACTGAGGTGAGTCTTCTGTTTTCCATTTCCGTGGTACGATAATCTATGAGCTTCGTTCTCGTGCCTTTTTTCTTATTTCTTACTGCAATTGTCATCTTAAAGCCTTGTTGAGTTGTTTCAACTTCTTGGTGTAGGATGAGGACTTGCATACAATCTTTTCACGCTTTGGAACTGTTATATCGTGAGTAATTGGAACCCTTAAGAAAAAAACTCAATCATGTTTTTAGGCCCTCATTTGTGAGAAAAATAGAATGCTCATCGTGTGGACTATGGCAGGGCTGATATAATTCGTGATTATAAGACTGGAGACAGCTTATGTTATGCATTTATAGGTGAGTGGAATCTTGTCATCTGCATTTTTCTACTAATTTTATCTGTTGGTGGGTGTGCCCTCATAGATAGATCGTCTTGCTAGGAAATATGTGTTCTTTTAGTTGTGGTTGATGAAGCATTAAGATTTCAGGACCTTTGTCTCTCACTCTCTTGGCCCTGATATATCCTGTCCTCTTCGATCACTTGCACTAGTTCAAGTTTGATTTTGAAATCCAATATTATAGGCCTGCATTATGACTTAAAAAAATGACATGTAATAAAGTTGCTACCTTAATGTTCTTTCATATGCAGGACAAGAGGAGTTGGGATGTATTCAGATAGTCAGCTACCCTAGTTTTCACTTGACACTTCAAAAAATGTAACCTTCAGGCTAAAATGAAGAAAAATGACAAATAATAGAATCTAGTATTTTCAAACTGATTCTATTGATAATGTGAATGTGTTCTGTTGGTAGGTGTGCCCTCATAGACAGGCCATCTTGCTTGGGAATCTGTGTTCTTTTACTTGTGGTTCATGAAGCAATAAGATTTCAGGACCTTTGTCTCTCACTCTCTTGGCCCTGATATATCCTGTCCTCTTCGATCACTTGCACTAGTTCAAGTTTGATTTTGAAATCCAATATTATAGGCCTGCATTATGACTTAAAAAAATGACATGTAATAAAGTTGCTACCTTAAATGTTATTTCATATGCAGGACATTGCTTGTATATTACTGGTTTAAGAGGAGTTGGGATTTATTCAGATACCCTAGTTTTCACCTGAATCTTTAAAAACTGTAACCTTAAGGCTAAAATGAAGAAAAATGACATATAAAAGAATCAAGTATTTTCAGACTGATTCTATTGATAATTTGAATTTCACGGTCCTTTCCACACTACTCTATTCTCAATTAACTAATTATGAGAATTTTTATTGGCCAAAGTTGGTAATCTTGGAGCCATTTTCTAGGTTTCTTGGCAAGTTTTTCATAACTTATTGAGTACTTGGACGAGCCAAAAGTTATATGCAGATGGGGAGAATTTTAAAAATTGAGCACATGCTGGCTTTTTTATAGTTCTAAAGAATCATATGGCACACTAACAGTTTATGGAATTCTACTGAAAAGTTAAAATTTATTATGAAAATAGCTCCAGACTGATATCTTCATGCTGGAGAATGTTAGCTACAATGATCAATAGCCTATTTTTGAGATGATATACTGCTGTGTGATGGAATGCATCATTTATCATCAACATTAACTCTTGTCTCATCTGTCTAAATCTGTGTATTTGTTGCATATGTTTAGGTTTCTTCGTTTTCTATTGATGTACAGTGATCAAATTTTATATGATCTTTGTATCTTCCTTTTGGCATGTTAAAATATGATCCTCGTACTTTTTACTGAATGAATATGATTTTTTTTTTTGTCAACCAGAGTTTGAGACCAAAGAGGCATGCGAGCAGGCATATTTTAAGGTATTTGAAAGCTTGAGAAAATCTGTTTTTGTCAGAGAACTTGATTTGTATTCTTCTTTCTGCATATCTGATTACTTTCGGGTGCCTTGTTTAAATAAGTTCATGGTTCCTAGTGTATTATAACAGTTAAAACTTGATGCAAACTTTAAAATATTTGTGAATGTCATCAACTAAATGTAACATGAAGTAATTTCTGTTTTCCAACTGAAACTTTTTATCTAATTGTTTCATGGCAGATGGATAATGCTTTGATTGATGATAGAAGGATTCATGTGGATTTTAGTCAGAGTGTTGCAAAACTATGGTCTCAATACAGGCGAAAAGACAACCAACCGGGTAAAGGTGAAGATTGCTATGTGATTAACATTTTCTGTATAAAACTTACATTGGAGCAAAAGAGGAACATTATAAAGAATAAAAACCTGAGTGTAAAAGAACCAAATGGGCATAAATCTATCAATCCGCTTTCAGTATTGGAAGATTATAAAAGTGCATATTGAGCTAGAAACAACCAATTGCTCTCTGTAGGAAATCTGCCAAATATAAACAGAATCTCGAAAGCCTCATCACTGATCATCAAATAATCAGATAAGCAGATGATTATAACATAATTGTTGCATTTACATTCTATCTTAATGACAGCAGGAAGAGGTTGCTTCAAATGTGGTGCTCTTGATCATATGGCGAAGGATTGCACTGGTGATCCTGCTAGCAAACATCAACCTTCAAAATATATCCTGAAGGACGATAATATGCAGCGTGGTGGAGATAATAATTCGAGGTTAGTAATAATCTTGCATTTTCCCCCTGTCCTCCCTCCTTGTATGTTTGTTTAACAGGTAAACAAACTTTCGTAGATATGAAATGGTATTTGATGGAGACACTCCAGAAAGTCCAAGACAGGGAAAGAGACATGGACACCGTGATCCAGATTACCAAATTGACAGAGAAAAGAAAGATGGAAAAGAGAGGTACAGGCAGAGTGACAGAGATAGAGGACACAGACAGGACACTCGGTACCCTGAAAGTAAAGGACGAAGTCGATATCCTGAGGAGCGACTTGATAAAGAAAAGTATATGGATAGAAGAAAAGACCGAGATGATCGAGATTACAGAAAGAGAACTTCAGATAGTCAAAGAGATTATGATAGCCATAAAGACCATCGAGATTACAGAAAGAGAACTTCAGATAGTCATAGAGATCATGATGGCCATAAAGGCAAGAGGGATGAACGAGAATATAGACGTCGAGGTACAGAAAATGATGATGATCCTGAATATGATCGAGATCGGAGGAACCGAGATGACAAAAGAAGTCGAGCTCTAAGATGATGCGAAGTGCTATTGTGGCATTGCTTTTGTAGTTCTTGGTTCCGAAACTATAGCATTAATGGATGTTGTGCCAAGATGATCAAATTATTCTGAGATAGATTCTTTTCTTTCGAGTGACAATTCTTTTCTTTCACACATTTATCTTCTGATCATGTTTTCACCTTTTCTTTACACTTTTAGAAATTATACTTATCTTGAGTTAAATCTAAATTTTTAAATATGATAAAATAATTAAATTATCGTCATATATAATATAAAATGAACTCCATAAATCTTTTCCCTTTTTCTTCTATGCTAGTCACCAATTTATCCCTCTTCTCTTTGTCATTGACCACCACTATAAGCAAACCTCTGCAAATTGATGCATTTTTTTTTTTTATCTCTCATCAGTCACCGCCAATCCCAATCTCAATCCCACCAATTATGTTATTTTAAATGGAAGAGATGTTTGTTAAGGTTGGCTTCATGAAAGCAAGCAAGTTTAGCAAAAACAGAGATGGAAAGAGATGGGGTTTGCCCAGTCATTGTCAGATCAATTCCCATTCATTCTTTAATGGGAATGTCATCTTCACTTGTGCAACGAAAGCGAGTTGATGGAGTAGCCAATGACACTGAGTTATTCATGGCACCAGCCCTAGGCTTGAGTGTTTTAATTTAATGATTTAGATTTTTTTTTTTTTTGTATTTAAGAGATGTAGCGTGATGATAAATGGTTTGAAATTTGAACAACAAATTTTGAGTTTGAGTTAGAGCATGTATTTCTTGTAAGATCCTAGAATAGCCAAAGTTTTATTCGTTTATCTGGACCTATAAAATATATTTTTTGAGAGGTGGGATTTTTTTGAATTAAAAAAAAAAGTGAGATTTTTTTTTATATTGAATATAATGTTTCTGGAATGATTTGAATGAAAAAGATGAGAAGGTAATTTAGAAGATAAGTGGATTAGAAGTTAGTTATGATGGTTAAGGTTTTTTTTTAATTCAATGATAAAATTATAATATTAATATTTCAGGAATAATTTAGATATAAAATAAAATTTAATAACAACCTTATAAATATTTTTTAAAAAAAATTATGTTGAGGATGTAACTGGTTATTTATCATGTAAATTCGGGGATGTAAAGTTAATTTTTAAAAGTAAAAAGAAAAAAATTATTATTTTTATTTATAATTTATTTCTAGCATGATTTGTTCTCTTTCAAACACATTGGGGAGTAGTACTGGATGTTTCAACATCAAACCTGAAAAGTGCTAATTCTCTTGACTTTCAGACTGAAGCTTCCCTAAACTTGTATCCGAGTCTAACCTTCATCTTCTGACACCAAGCATGAGTCCATCAGTAGGGTTTCAGCGCTGAGTTGACATTGTCGCCACAAAATTCTAGGGTTTTAATTGATTACGTGATTTGTGGTTTTTTTTAGCAGATGGCATCTAATTACCATAAAATTGATTAATTGTGATATTGTGGGATTGGAGCGATGGGGAAAAGGAAGCCGAGAGTGAAGCCACTACCTTAAAAGAGAATGGCATGAGTTTCGAGTGCTGCATGTGAGTGTTCATGCCATTCTGGACACCATTCTTTTGCAAGTACTTAACTCATCATATGTTCTACAGCAATCCAATTTTCTCATATCATATCAATAGATGCCAAGCTTGAATGGATGGATGAGCTCTCGGGCTTGAAAAGTCCAAATGCGCATCAAGCTCTTCATCATGTTTCCCAACAATGCTTCTGCACCTAACAAATAGGGAACTTACTATTGGAAGTAGAAAGTTAGGGAACTGACATGGTATCAGCATTTATAATACAACACGTGAAAAGAGAAATAATTCTGACCATTTACTAAATATCCCAATTAGTTTAAAAATATAATTTATATACTGAATAATTAATTAATTCTTTAATTTTAGTAATTTAATTAATTCTAAGATAACTAGTAGTTTATATCTAATATGTGGTAGATTAAGATGGTTGGTACCGATAATTATTTTTTTTGTAGATTTAGAAACTTTTAAATGTTGAATTAATTATCTTTTTAGAAAAAAAATCCAATAATATTTTAGTGAGATAAACTTTAAAAATATATAGGCTATAACTATTCAGAATGAAGATATTATTAACCTAACTTTAAAAAAATTATAAAGTATTTGTAACTTATAAATCTTGTTTTTTATGTATACGAGAGACCTTTATTTTACTATAATAATATTAAAGAGAGATAATTATTTTTTATATATATATTAATAAAAAATAAATATTTCTTATACAAAAATTAATATGATAAATATATTATTAAGAGATTGTTTATAGAGTATAGAAAAAGTAGGATCTAAAATATAATCCAATAAACATGGCTCAACTTTTCCCCTAACTAAGTCCATGAGATTTGTGCTATTTTTGTAGGCTGAGTCTATAATAATTGGGTTCTTTTCTTGAGCTAAACTAGGTTTTTTTATTGGGTTAGGTCCATAACTTGATATATTCTTTAAGGTTAATTTAACCACGGCTGAGCTTTTTATCTAAGTTGAGTCCATAATATTGGATTTTTTTTTCTAAACTGAGTTTACAGGAGTTAGGTTATTTTTCTAAGTTGAGTTCATGATGGCAGGCTTTAAGACTTAGCCCATCAAAGTTGGATTTTTTTTTGAGACTGTTTGATGATATTAAGTTTTTTTTTCAAGATAAAACATATAAAAATTAAGCTCTTCTCCGACACCGAGCACAAGCTAAGCTCATGTTGCCTAGTTTTTTTTTCCAAGACTGAGCTCACAAGATCTAGGCTTTTCTTTAAAAAATTGTTTTATAGATTTAGAAACTTTTAGATGTTGAAGTAATTATATTTTTAGAAGAAAAATTCAATAATATTTTAATGAGATGAACTTTAAAAATATATAGGCTATAACCACCGAGAATGAAGACATTATTAACGTAAAATTTTAAAAAATTATAAGGTATTTGTAATTTATAAATCTTGTTTTTTATGAATATAAAAGGCAAAAATGTTATTTTACTATAATAACATTAAAGAGAGATAATTATCCTTTACATATATATCAATAAAAGATAAATATCTTTTATATAAATATTAATATAATGAATATGTTATTAGGAGATTGTTTATAAACCTAAAAATATAAAAAGAATAGAATTTAAAATATAATCGAATTATCAAGGCTCAACTTTTCTCCTAAATGAGCCTATGAGATTTGTGCTATTTTTTATAGGCTGAGCTTATAAGAATTGGATTCTTTTTTTAAGCTAAACTCATGTCATTGGGTTTTTTCTTTTAATTGAGTCCGTAACCTTTAACAAGAGCCGAGCTTATCTAAGTTGAGTGCATAATATTGGACTTTTTTTTCTAAGCTGAGCTTATAATAATTGGGCTATTTTTCTAAGTTGAGTTAAGCGGGCTTTAAGACTTAGCACATAAAAGTTGGATTCCTAAGTTGAGTTAAGCGGGCTTTAAGACTTTGGATTTTTTTTTTAGACTGGTCTATGATATGGAGCTTTTTTTTCAAGATAAAACATATAAAAATTGAGCTCGTCTCTAACACCGAGCACAAGCTAAGCTCATGTTGCCTCGTTTTTTTCCAAGACTGAGCTCACGAGGTCTCGGCTTTTCTTTAAAATTGTGTCTATGAAAGCTGAGCTCCTTTTAAGACTGAGCCAATGACGTGGAGCTCTTTTCTTAGATTTAGTCTATAAAACTAAGTTCTTTTTATAAGTTGAGCTAATGAATTATTTTTCTATGCTGAGTTTACTGACAATTAGGTCCAAACATGTTGTCTAAAACAACAAGGTTTAGAGCCTTTTATGATTTTTTTAGGCTGTTAAATTTAAATATATCAAATTAGAAGATGAGATTTAAATGCAAAATAAATTAAGCACATCAATCGTGTCCACCTTCGTTGGTTTCGCTTGAAGAACAATAAAAAGTTGCTAGTCTGTGAATACTGTTAAATGGTATTGGTTTTTGTAACTGTGTTTTTATGGGATTTTAAACAAAGTGTTAATGAAATACAAAGCTTAAGTTTTTTTTTCTTCTAATTTTCTATAAAATTATATTAATATTAAAAGTACTTTTTAGTCATTATATGAAAATTAATAACAATCTTATAAATAATCAAATATATTTTATTGAATTTTTCTGGACACTCTTATAAAGTTCAAAAAGTAAATTATAATTTTTCAAAATAATGAATGTGAGTGAAAAAGGGATCTAACCACAAGATGATACTCTGTAATTTTCCCGTTATAGGAAACCGTAGGACCAAATATAAAGGAAAAGAGAAGGAAACGGATACAGACATAAATAGATGACCATCATTGAACATGTAAATGACTTCCACCAAGGTTGTCACTGAGAATCATTATGATTACTCGATGATGATCTTCGTTATTTTACATGAATAGCGATCCCAAGTATTCTACAAGGAGATCAAATAGAGAGCGCATGCTACTGCCAATCAACTAAGAAAATCCAAAATCCTCGCTTCCATTCTTATAAATCATGTGGAAGAGTTTGATCCAACCATCAACTAGAAGATGGCTGCTATAGGGCTTGGACTTAAATAAGATCATCCTTCAATGAAAGGATCCACTGACAACTGACATATTACTTAACCAACTGCAAAGGAACTACAAAGCCACTGATATTACTTAACCAACTGCAAAGGAACTACAAAGCCACTGATCTCTTAAACAATTACTAGCATCTGACAGAAATTTTGATACCAAGGTGCTCTCCAGCAAACAGCAACACCTCAGGCGTGATTTTCTGGGACATGCCTTTTATGCTCTCTCTCCAAATAACCAAACCGGTTCATCCTGTTTCGATCATCTGTACAATCATGATGATTATAATGGTGAGACCCCGGGGCATTATCAGTCCGATGCTCCCCCTCAGACTTTCTGTCAGGTGGACTTGATGCCTTACGTTTGCGATTACTTGACTTGGGTGAGGGAAACCCCTGGTACATATCATCAGGAGCTGACAGTTCCCCATCTTCAATATTGTTCTGATCTGGCCTTTGTGATAACTGCGCCCTCATTCCATGATGCTGTTCATCCCTTGCATCAATATTCTTCCCATGACGTGAGCTCTCATATTCTTCCCTGTCCAAGTGCTTGGACCAGC